CGCAAAACCTTTATTGGAAAGGGCAGTGCGCACAGCTGGGGAAGCAGAGAGCTGGTCGAGCAAGGCCACCAGTGCCGCCGGATCGTCCAAACGAGGTCGGACGGACATGCCGGGCGGGCACAAGATAGCGGAAAGGAGAGAGCACGACCTAGGCTTGAAGAAAAATGGCTGCGGCAGACGGCAGGCAGTCGCAAGAAAGGAAGGAAGCAAAGCGAGCACCCAACCGCACAACCAGTGCAGAGCAGAGTGCTGCGCGTTTTCCGGGCGCGGCCCCGCCGTTAGTGCTGAGAGCAGACTAGCGACGGCGGTGGCAGCGGCGGCAGACATGGTTCCGGTGGCCGCGCGGCGTCAGAGGACGGCCACAGAGACGGTCACAGCCGGGAACGCGGCACGCGATGGTGCAAAAATCCTGGGCTTCCGGGAATGCCCGACGCTTGGGGGCCGGGTCCGGCGCCGGATTACGGCCCGGGCGCGACTGCGGCGGGGCATCAGGCGGAGGACCAGGGGGCGACGCCAGCACCACCCGGGCTTGCCCTACCTGACGGTGTTCCATCGCATGCAAAATGGTCAACAGACGCTGGCGGATGTCCGGAGACAGAAGGGACAACCCATCCAGCAGTTGGCCATCAGAGGCCCCCGGACGGACCAACACAGACGGCATGGGCACCGCCGGGGATGAGCTGGCATAGCCCGACCACTGGTTCCCGGAACCGGAGTAGTGGGGCTGATATAGATCCCCAGGGGGGGCCCAACCAGTGGATGAGCCTGATCCGGATTCCGGACCCACCGCCGGTGTCGTGGCGTCCGCCGGCGCAATGGCAGACGTATCCCAAGCGCCGCCCGGAGACGGCAAGGTGTCCGACATTGCGGACGCGGGGACAGAGGGCGCTGCGTCCGCAGCTGCCTCCGCCGCAGCGAGTGCAGATTCTTCTTCCTCCGAAAACGGAAGGAAGAAGCCATCAGGTAGGTCGTGGTTTGCCTGTTCAGCCATGGCCGAGGGCAGAACAGGGGCTGGAACCTACCAAGGGCACAAAGAGAAAAGGCTGCGGCAGGTAGAGCAGTCAAGACGGTGCTCGCAGACAGCTCGGTGGATGCAAGACAGCCAGCCTGGCGCACCTTTTCAATAGCTACGCCGCCCAGCGCGAAAAGCAGCTAGTACGGGTGCAGAGGATGGCATCTTCCGGAGCTTTCTGACAGAAGCTGTCGGGATCCAGTTGGTGCGTTCGTGCGCCACACAGAGGGCGGAGCCAGACAGTAGAACCGTCCAGAAGAAAAGATTTGGAGCGGGTGGCAGAAGGCTCCGTCCGCATGGCTACATGGGACCACGTTACTACGTGCATTCCAAAGGTAGCCGAACGCGGTAACAGAAGCAGATGGGGGCGGGGACACAGCCTTAGGAGCCGGGGCCGTGGCAGGCTCATCAGGCAGAACCGCCTCCTCTGCAGAGGAATCAGATGACTCAGAAGAAAGAGATTCCAAGGCAGC